ACTGTTAAAGGAGCACTAACTTGGAGTGGGATCTCATCTGAGGAGAAATTAAACCAAAAAAGAAAAGATACTTCGACAACGTAAACTGTGAGTTAATACTTTTTAAAATTAAGACCTTAAAACAAGGATTTTACTTAATAACCAGCTGCTGTCAAATAAAATTTAGGCCACCCATTACTGACTTGTAATATYGTAAAAAGAACAAAGAAATGCAATGTAACTAGTGTGTAAAAATTTATACTACACTTCTAAGTAAACATTTACTTCAATGGTTGAATAAAATAACTCTTAWTAAAAGAATTGTGCATTAGCTTAATAATAAATAATACTGAAAAATAAATTCTYACTATGTGAATGCATAAGTCTCAGAGATTACAAAAAGGACTAAGAAGACAAACAAAAATTATTTTACCAACAGTGCTCGAGTTACATYYYATAATTAAGTGATATATTWATGCACAAACATTGCATAGAGTTCAATACTGCAGGTAWTTACCATTAAAATGCTTAAGCAGCACAGCTGGCAAACTCCGAAGRGGAWTGCACACACACTGTCTCATCACACTCTTGCCTTCCTTGTCCAATCCCTTTTCAGACTTGAACGAGTCAAGTTCAGAGTCTTCGCTYAGAAATCGAAGTCTCGTCTTGTCCCCAAAACTTCTAAGCTGTTTGTGAACATCCCCCTCTTGCCACTGCCAACCTGATCTTCTTAGGTAAAAGGCAAGTTTGCTATAAGCARTAGCTAATAGCTTCTGCCCTTTGATTGTTGTACACTTGAAAGCATACGCAATCTGTAAAAAGTGAAATAATTCTAAATCAGTACATGGAACTTTATGATTTTGTTCAAACATCATACAGTATTACATATAGSATGAATGAAAATAGTTAACTACGTATACACAGTCTCCTCTTAATTAACCTCATGCCCAGAAGATAAAATTTCCACAATACYGAWTTTTAATGTACTCATGCATGYGAAAAACTGARTAGTAAGTAATATATACAGTATGAGTGGCTGTGTTGTGTTCGATATGTTTGTATATTGGATACAACAAGGACACGAATACTGTAGATTACTTATCAAATGTCTAGGTAATAGTTCCTTTGTGTTTCGCTAAAATTTGCAAGATAAAAGTGAATCTGGCCAGGAAAATYCATCTTAAAGTTTATGCAAATGAACAGGATTCTGTATCTGATTTGCAAACCTCTTCACGGTTGTGATTTCTGTTGTGTTCTCGTCATGAATTATTAATGAGTTTAATATTGTGTAGTTCCAGAAATTATCCATACCCTTCCCACTGAGGAATTTTTTTAAAGACCCTCCCCCTACCCCCGGARATTCCAATTTTCTTCCATGCAAACTCTGTAACTTTGTTCTCTCTCTTACCTCCCCAACCCCTTGGAAATTCCAAATAATAATTTTATTCCTCTGTGGGTAGGGTATGGATAGTTTCTGGAACTACACAATGCATACATGCATAAACTGCGCACGAAGACATCAGTTACATTTGTGATAAAGCCGGGGCTATTAACTAATGTACAAAAAGTTTCCAGAATCCATTTAYACTCCACTGRAATGATGGATCGCTRGTTATCATTTTTCTTATGATATTCTCACTGACGAAATGTATAAAAAAGTCATGTGAAATTCATCGTTTCTTAAACTGGGCCTAARCGCAAAACTTTAGTATAGCTAGGTCTCACAAATTATCTGATCCAAGAATATATACCTAGATTGCATATATAGAAAAATAAACAATRTAGTAAGAAATTACTTTTTTCTTTTATTGTAATTAATCTGGGTCCATACCTCTCTTTTGGTCAGAGTGCCAAAAATTGTGTCAAGATTGCTCCATAGTTGATTGGCTTCTGGACCATTGGATTWAACCTCTTTCTGAATATGGCCAGTGAACAGGTCATCAATTAATGGAACTACCTTACTTTCAAAGTAGTTCCAGATGAATGGTGCATCTTCACTGAACCCAGCAACTTTCATGACCTGTGGGAAAAAAATATTTAAATATGAAGAATTAAATTACATTTGGTTTTGAAAAGTTGAAGAAGTTGAAAAGTTTCATACGCCAATCGTTTAGCTGCAGATTTTAACTAAATCTACCAATCAGAGCATTAAGGGTCAGTAAAAAAGTCTATTGCAAAGAGATGGCAGCACAAAAATATTTTTTAAGAACTTTAGGATTTTGGCGACATCAGGAACTGCATGTAAAATTATGATAWTATTGTGAAATTTCATAGGCATATGGCAAAAGACATCTGATGTATATTAGGTAATTAAATACAAAAAATATTCCCATACATTATCTCTTAGCGCAGGAGGAACTAACAAGAATAATTCCAAAAAAAATTGCAAAATAACAAAAAAWTGTATAGTAATTTTAGAGCTTAAATATCTAATGTCTTCATTTCATTGATATTGATTTCACTCCGCTTATAATTTATGTATAGTTACCTCTAAGGTGTACCATATTAGCATGGAGTAAATCTGGGAGGACSTTATTTTCCCTCCCAGAAGGACTTCCACCTTGGAAGAAATTTCTTGCTTCTCAATAGAACTTAAGCTATTGTCAAGAAATTTCGGTGTGATGCTTAGGCATTCTAAGATGCTGCAGCTTGCTTTGGCTGCAGCAAGGTCCAACTTTTTCTTCTTCTCCACCATTTCATTTGTCGCTAGGACTGGCTCASKCTTTTCAAATAATACAATAGCCTGTCTTGAAAAGGCTCTGTAAAAAAAATAAAATACCATAACTTACAAAGGGGGTTATTCGATCATTCCATTTTCTTTGACCATCAGTAAATATTTACTGAGATGTATAAATGTTATATATATATAAATCAAGAGAATATGAAGTAAGTAAATACTTTATAACATATTTTTGCAAAGCAAAAATGCTCTCATTCATTGAATTAGGGATGAATCATTAAATGAATGAAGGAATGGCACTAATTTTTAACCAAGAGAAGTAATGTACATATGCTGTGATTTCGTAAAAAAAACAATGATTATAAAAGTAATCATAATTCTTACCGCTTATCATTAGCACATGCGAAATTCGCACTTATAACAGGTGGACTCCTTGGCACACCTGACGAAATGTATGTATCTTTTCCAGCCTTTAAAAATATGAAATTGCAACTCTTTAAATTAAATATTAGCACACCCACACACACTTATTACAATGCCGTGTTTATTGCTGAAATAGTTTTTTTCATATACTTCATGTTATATAATAATAATCGATAAATTAATAACTTATTCAATAATTCTAAGGCACAAATTTTGCATATGAATATGGTTAAATGAGCAATTAAATAAATGGATGACCATTAACTAAAGGTGGTCTGGGACCCATAGATCCCATCGACATAATTSCTTAGCTTTTGAATTTTTGTGAATATCCATTTTGTTTGCAAAACGACACAAACAAGGATCCACAAACAGAGAAGATAACTGGCATAAGATTTTGAATGTTTTAGGGAAAAAACTTTGGTTCATCTGCACATGTAATAAGTGTACAAAAATCTTGGTATGTTAATCTTAAAACTGTCTGTAATGGGGGCTAAAGCTATTTCAATTCGTCAAGTACCTGCACACTACTGCTCTAGAAACTTAAGGTTGAGCCCGGCCCTTAAATCAAGTACACAAATACAGTCATTTTTGTTATTGTAAATAGATGATGCTAACAAGTTTACGTGGTTGAAGAGGGCTTGGACTATAAACTTAACGTCATCTGGTGATGATGGGTCATCCCAGGCAAAGGGCAAATCACATAACTTCGATCTCTCAAGGGCCATTTTACAGGTGTAGTCTATATGCGTAATGAAAAATAGGATCTCTTAGTTTAACAACATTTTATCACAAGTATATGTTTTACTCACTATCTTGCTGCTGACTGGCTGGCATCCTACAGCCAATCCCTGATAGTGTGTAATTCCAGAAATTATCCATACCCCTACCCCCACATCTGTTGGGTCTTTGTAATAGTTCATGTATTGATTCTAAAGGATTAAAAAAATTACTTTTAATGTCTGCATTTCCTGTTATGGACATGCATGCCCTTAAAACAGTGGTTTTAGATGTTTCTGTGTCCCCTGTAAGTAAGCCGACTACAGGACATGAGCCTACTACTTGGACAATTCTTTGGTATCCAAGGCTCATGACCGTGCCCCCCAAGGCAAGACATGCTGCAGGGAAGTTACTTGTCAGCAGGTCCTTCATACATTGGAGCAGCTCTTTTAGACCATGTGCACCTAATGGCATTTCTATGTTGGAAACAATTTCATCACAACCTGAAATTAAAAAAATAGCCCATCACATCCTAAAAGATATCAAATTCACATATTAATAACATTCCGAAATAATATTCCACTCCATTGTAATTGCTGAAAACCATACCCTGTTTGGTTGCACGTACCCGTATGGTGAATACAGGGGAGTACCTCAGAAGCAGATGTGTTAAATTATGCAAGAAATAGCTTTCT